GCCATCACCTTTGATAGGCTTCACTTCCAACCACTCATTAACTATACTATACCACCTAAAAGGGTTCTCTTTGATTGGACATCTGGAAAGAAGAAGGGAAAAGCAGAAGAAGGAGTATCAACATGCTGGGACAGCATGTCTAGAAGGGGGGGTGATGTCAGGGCACCAGCTCATTGGTTGGTCAAGAGACATGACTAAGCCTTTATGACATGGAAGTAGCTGGTATACCTTGGCATGTGCTGGAACCTGCTGGAAGGATTGGATGGTCAGGTGACCTGCTGTGCATGGCTGTGCATGACCTCATATGACCTCATCCTTGGTCATATGACCTGATCACCTGACTAGGCTGAGTAAGCAAGATGTTCTAGCAGGTTCCACCACAGAGGTATAAATATAAGGCCTACTCTGCCTGGGACTGTCTCTTCAGACTTGGTCTCTTAGGATCATCCACAGGTACCTATACTGTAGATAGGTCTTAGTCATCAGGTCTACTCCACTTCCTTGTTGCCTGCTTAGACTCTTGGCACTCTTAGGTGAGCAGACTTAGTCAGCCTGTGTTGCCCTAACATAGTGGCAGTTTCTTGAAGCTGTCAGTGGCGGCTAGTCGCATCTTCAAATTCAGCCAGCCTAACAGTTCTAGAAGTAGAGTGAGGAACAGTTCCATTAGCTGTAGGCCACTTATTGGTACAAGTTGATGGCATTGAAGATGACCTAGTATGTACCACCATGCACCCAGATGTGTGAACCAGGTAGGTCACGTGTCTTGCAATAGGACCCTAGATCCTGCTTTTCTACATTTGGTACAACCTACTGGACGCAGCTGGACTGGCCCCTGTGGAAAATAGCTGCGAGTTTGTGGTGGGGGCGAGGGTCACCCCCCTGGCAAAAGTGTGGACCCTAGTGGTCGACATAGGTGGCTGACCGCCCCGTGCTGGGAGGACATGTCCGTGATAGAGGTGCTTGGGCGCGTGGCGTGCTTCTCAATTTAGCTGAGAGGGTACGTAATACTGGGGTCATGCGAATACTTGAATACAGTAGAGGTGTTTGGGGTCATTTGACTGGCGAGGTGCGAGCGAGTGCGAAGGTCCGGCGCGTCGGGTATTTAGAGAAATGGAATGGGGAAGGGTGGGACGGAGATGTATGCTTCGCGATATGTGTGATGATGCGTGACGTGGCCGTCTATGTTCGCTATGTTTGCTGTGTGTTCGGTGTTTGTCAGGGTAGGGCGGAGCAAGGTGTATCATGCGCTTTGTTCCCTGATCGCCGACTGCCGAGCCGGTGAGAGAGCGGAGGGAAGAGAGGACGCTTGGCCCGGGTGTGGGTGTGGCGCAAAGGAGCGGGGGCTGTGGTCGGAGTTGATAAGTAAGGATCGGCAGTCGATTACCCTTTTGCTCGCGGGTGGATCAGGCACCCTGTGAGAGAGTGTGAGGTTTTCTTGGAAGAGTATCAGGGGCTTAAGCTGCCGGGTCGTCCGCTGGGCTTTCCCGCTACAGAGAAGAGAGGGAAGCGTTGGTGCATATATATATGTAATGAAATAGTTAGGCGAGAATATATATAATCGGTGTTTACTTTATATCTTGTACAGTTGTGTTGAACAAACGACGACGAACAACATCCGACACTCAACATACCCTCACGATGGACATTGCGTTAGTCTACATTCCCCCTTTACCTTCCCCGCCTCTCCCTCCGGTTACCCGTCTGTCTCCGTCGTCCCTGGACACACTCGACATCCCTCCCACTCCTAATCGCTCTCATCTTCCATCATCACCACCACCATCGTCATCGTCGTTCACCTCCTCATCACCTCCATCCCAGTCAGCACGTCTCCTCTCTCGTCTCGCCTCTCTTCGCCCCTCTCTCACATCCGCCCCTAACCCTCCTATTCAACCAACACAATCAACAACATCAAACGGAACAATGATGTCCTCCCGCACGCGCCAGCGCTCATCCAGCGCAGCTGGTGCACCCCCTGCCCCCGTCCCCGCTGCACCAGCCCCAATCCAACAACCCACACCCAACGCCCCTCCCTCCCCTCCTCGCGAGATCGCCAACCCTTTCAGCTACCTGCGTGGGCGTAGACAGGGCTCAACAGCTCCCACTGGAAGCGCTCCACCCCCAGCTCCGGCGGTTAATGCCCCTGCACCGCCGCAGAACCCTCAGCCAGCCGGAACGACGATCACAACGACCACCTCGAACGGAAGTGCCACCTCGCCCCTTTCTCCTGGCCATCTCTCCCCCTCTTCGAGTCAACATCATCACGTCCACTTGCCGCATCTCCTCCATCGTAGGCACTCAACTACAGCTCCCTCTCCACCCTCGCTCTCCCACACCAGCACACACTCGAACAACAGCGCTAACGCCACTCCTCCCACTACCACCAACCCGACCGGCACAAACGCAAACTCAAGTGCAGCAAATACGACCATGGCTCCGAATGGGCATGCGACCCCAGGCACGGCGGGTAATCCTCACCGTCTCCGTCTCGTACCGTACCTCGAGAACACCCGTTCGCTTATCTTCGACCCGATCCTGCGCCAGCTCACAGATGGCCAAGCGCCCATTCGCATTGGCAGATTCACGGATAGACGTAGTACCCGTGGGACGGGGGACGATGATGGGAAGATCGCGTTTAGGAGCAAGGTCGTTAGTCGTGCTCATGCAGAGGTGTGGTGTGAGCCTTCGGGCAAGGTCCGTTTTCCTTTGGATGGCTAGACGTATATGCTGATTGCTGACTGTACTAGGTACTCCTGAGGGATACCCAGTCCTCTTCGGGCACGTTCCTCAACCATATCCGCCTTTCAGCCCCAAGTGTTGAGTCACGCCCTTTCCCCGTCAAGGACGGTGATGTCATCCAGCTCGGGGTAGACTATCAGGGCGGGACAGAGGAGATCTATCGTTGTGTTAAGATACGGGTTGAGCTGGATAGGCATGTTGGAGGGAGGGAGGCGTTCAAGTAGGTGCATATATGCGCGTGCTGGGTATATGCTGAATGTTGATAAAGTGAGAACGCGATCGCTCAGCTTAATGCGCTTGCTGCTGCACCTATTGCTACTGTTGCTACTGTTGCATCGACCGCCGCACCCGCCCCAACGGCTGATGACTCACCGAAGAAACCATCCATCACAGAATGTTCAATTTGTGCGTCTTTCCCCTTTTCACCCCATATATGCTACCTGCTGACTTGTCCAAGGTATCTCGAGCGTCACCGTCTGCCAGGCGCTGTTTATCGCGCCTTGCTCGCATGTATTCCACTACAAGTGCATTCGCCCACTGGTGGAGAAACGATATCCTGGGTTCATGTGTCCCATGTGCAGGAGCTATGCGGATCTAGACGCTGACGTAGACGATGAGGACTACGGCTTGCCTGCTAAGGCTGCTGTGCCCGTGCCTGCCGCGGAACACCTAGACGACCATCCTGCGCCTCCTGCATCTCAAGAACTTGCGCATCCCGCGCCTGAAGTATCCGTTGTAGAAATAGAAGATCAGGACATGGACGAGGTCGCGGTGGAGAACGAAGCCCTCGGGAACGGCGGTATGGAGGAAGAAGACGTCGATGTTGTCGCTGCTATCTCTGATCCGTTTGACGGGTCCCCGGCTACGCAAGAAGAGGAACTGGAAGACGAAGACCTGATTGAGGAGCGGGAGGTGGAGGCCACTGCAAGCAACAGCAGTACGAGTACCAACCCTGGTCCTCCTCCTCCCCCGTTCAGGATGAGCATGCTCATCCCCACTGCTGGGCCGTCCCGTTCCCACCCAGATGCGGCACGCGACGCCGACCGGGAGAGACTGGACGAGAACGCGACGCCGATGAACAACCTCTTCCTCTCCACTCTGGCGGATACGTCTTCCCGCCGCACCCGAGTGTCGAACATCTCCAACGGGGCAGCCCTGAATGCGAACGGCGTCACACTCCTCACTCCTATTCCGAGCGTGTCAAGTATCGCCCCTTCTTTCGTCGTGCGCTCGGAGGATACCCCCCAAGCCCAGACCAGGGCAAGTCAGCGCAGGAAGGGCAAGCGCCGCGCGCCGACGTCGGATGACGTCCCCCCCGAAAGGGAGCGGGAACGCAAGCAGCAACGGGATAGGCGTACGGTGATCGACCTTGATGCAGAGGACGACGAAGACGAAGACGCAGTCATGGTCGAGGGTATGTAGCTCTCCCCGGCTTGTTAGGGCTGGGCTGAACTCGCCTAGGCTGATAACTTGACCAATGCTGCAAGAGAGATTTCCTGATTTCCCGATTTCCTTTTTCTCAGATCTCGAGAAAAACTTGGTTTACCCCCTTAGGTTGCGTTACCCTGTCTCTCCTTCCTTTCTTCCCTTTCTCTTGTCCGTTTCCCCTTTGGCCTCAGTCTTATCCAGTTATTATTAGTTCTTGCCGTTCTGTGACGATTTGACCCCCCAATGCAAGTCTTTCTTTCCCTCAGTTGTGCCTTCGGGCACACGACGTTTCTCAGTGCATATTCCATATTCGGTTCTCGATCTCATCTTTCTCCCTTTTCTCCTTGGGCAGCCTTCTTTATCCCACTTTTTGCGCTTTCTCCGTTTTGGCGCTTTCTGCACTGTCCGGTGCCCGGTGCTTGGCGCTTGTGCCTGCTTAACCCGCTGGGGGACGGCGCACGGCGAGTACTGGGCACACGGGGCGTGTGAGAGCGATGATGGAGCTGTACGAGTATGCGGAAAATATGCAAGCGAATTGCGAGATGTGAATTTCTGCCCCAACATGAGGGTCGTGCGGAAGGCCCCCCCTGTCATCCCCGTGCGTTGAGGAAAGGGATTTGCTGCCCAGTCAACTTGTCCAACCCCTTTAACGCGCTTTGGTAAACGGAGTGGGGACTCGTGTGGCTAACACCGACCCCTTATAGCAAGTCATGGTAAACCGCAGGATGGCAGGCATGGGCAAAAGACCAGTAAGCATGGGAACCGCCTTTCAAGAGGAAGTCACGTGCCTGGATGACCAAACGCTCGAGGCCCATGAACAGCGCCACTTTCTCTCTGAGAGCCGGTCTGTTGATTCTGGTGATTTGCTTTTCTCGCAGTTGGGAGGGGAGGCGTAACTCTGGGTTTGTGCCGGCTGTTTTGGGTGGATTGCTGGATCTACGCGCTCGCCATGGTCTTCCTACCGTGGAATTCGGGGCGTGGAGCCTGCTCTGGGAGGATAAAAGACAGTCAACATGCGCTCTATGTACATCTCATCCTCACCTCCGGCTCTTTCTCTGCTATTTATCCTCTTGCCAAGACTCTTGAAACCCTCGCTTGACTTGAACTCAATATGAAGCTCACTGTTAGCCTTTTCCTCCGGGAACAGTGCACCGTCCTCACCAAGCCTGCTTCTTACGCTCCCTCCCTGGCTGGAAAGACCGTCATCATCACCGGCGCCAACACAGGGCTAGGATACGAGGCTGCTCAGCATCTGGCACGCTTGTGCCCTGGAAGGCTTATCCTCGCGTGCCGAGATCCGAAAAAGGGCAGGGATGCGGCTGAAACGATTGGTCGGGTTACTGGGTGTGGGAACGTACAGGCGTGGACGGTGGATATCGGTAGTAATGCGAGTGTGAAAGCGTTTGCGGAGAGGTTTGAGAGGGAGACTGAGGGGAGACTTGATATTCTGGTAAGGTCATTTGTCTGAAGCAACGAATTCAAGTTCGGCTCACTCGAGAATAGATCGAAAACGCGGGAGTCAATGTGCCGAAGATGGAACGTACTGTAGATGGATGGGAGAAGAAGTATGCTTCAGTCATGCCTGACAATAACTATCTAAGATATTTGCAACAGCATCGGTATCAACCACCTTGGAACCGCCCACCTCGCCTTGCGCATGCTCCCTTTCCTGCTTCAAGCATCCCAGCCCCGGCTGGTGATCCTCGCCAGCGACGTGCACTACTTTACCGCGGATCCGGAAGGGTTGAACCAACCGGACGTTCTCCACCGGCTGAACTCTGATAGGCAGACGAACAAATTTGAGAGCTTTGATGGTATTCAGCGGTACGACGTCTCCAAGAGTACGGATCCCTTTTCATGTAGGGAGTATTTCAGCTCATAGTATTCAGCCCTCAACGTCCTCTGGGGAGAGGAATTGTCAAGGCACATCCCCTCCTCTTCCTCCTTAACCGTCACCACTTTAAATCCTGGCTTATGCGTCTCCGCCCTCCTTCGGGACCATTCATTTACCCACCGACTCTGTGCCCGGGTTATCGGTCGCTCTACTGGAGTGGGAAGCAGGACTATCGTCCATGCCGCAGTTGCACCTGAACTGCAGGGCAAGACAGGCGTGTTTCTCAGCAGCTGCAGGATTACAGAACCCAGCGATTTTGTTATCAGCAAGGAGGGTCACGCGCATTGCGACCCAGTATCTCAATTCATAAGGTACCTCTGATTCTCGTGTTCATAGTTTGTCGAGGTGCGAGAATTGGTAGCTGAGTTTCTTACACCTTCAATTTCTTTCTCTTTCTCATCCGTGCCTCCAGGCACGCCACGTTTCCCCGTGCACATTCGTTGGTTTATCTTCTTCCCCCATGCTTTCCTCCCCCTTGCTTTCTTTTCCGCTGCCGGTCTCTAACCCATACATTTCTAAACATCTGAGTCCCGCGCATCAGGGGCGGAGTTAAAGCACGGGCGACACCATCACCGTGGGAAAACCACAGCTCGCTGAGTAAGCAGAGCGGTGCAACATGGAACGCGTAAGCATCACGTGCTTATCCGTCCAACCCAGTCCCTTGTTTGGGTGGAACTCTCCGGGCCAAAGCTTGCCGCAGCCCATGAACGGCGCCACTTTCTTTCTGCAGAAACTGGATTATTGATTCTGTTCGATTTGCTATGCTATCGAGGAGACTTCCTAGCTGCCGGAAGTGACGCGTACCTTTTCTGCACGGCCGCTGTGTCGAGCGGTTTGCTTGAATCCAAACACTACGATCTCCATGCTTTCGAGCAAGGGCCATGGAACCTGCTCTGCAACCTTTAAAGACGTGCTGAACTGAAGTTCAGCATGTGTTCTACACCTTAGCATCAAATCCCGGTTCTTCCCTGTCTTTTTTTGCCCAATATCCTTAAACTTGCCCAAACTCAACATGAAGGTGACATTCAGCGTCTTCCTCCGGGAACAGTTCGCGATCCTCTCGAAGCCGGCGTCTTACGCTCCCTCTTTGGCAGGCAAGACTGTCGTCATCACCGGCGCCAATGTGGGGTTAGGATTTGAGGCCGCTCAACATCCAGCACGCTTGCATCCTGGACGGCTGATCCTCGCGTGTCGAGATCCGAAGAAGGGCAAGGACGCAGCAGACGCGATCAGACGAGTTACAGGGTGCGAAAACGTGGAGGCCTGTACATTGGATATTGCTAGTAACGCTAGTCTGAAAGCGTTTGCAGAGAAATTTGCAAAGGAGATTGGGAAACTGGACATTCTAGTGCGAATACCCTGGCTGAATCTTTGACCTTCTCTCATCCAATGAAAAGGTCGAAAACGCAGGAGTCAACGTGCCGAAAATGGAACGCACTGATGATGGGTGGGAGAAGAAGTAAGCTTCATCCATGCCTGACAATAACTATCTAAGACAATTGCAACAGCATCGGTATCAACCACCTTGGCACCGCCCACCTCGCCCTTCGCATGCTTCCTTTCCTTCTCCAAGCATCCCAACCGCGAGTCGTCATCCTCGCGAGCGACGTGCACTACCTCACTACAGATCCCGAAGGATTGAACCAGGTGGACGTCCTTCACCGACTAAACTCGGACAAACAGACGAATAAGTTCGAGAGCTTCAATGGCATTCAACGGTACAACGTCTCCAAGAGTACGTGTTCTGTCCGGTTCACTGCATATCCCTTCTGACTAATGCTCAGCACTGAATGTGCTCTGGGGCGAGGAACTCTCGAAGCACATTCCGTCTTCCTCCTCCCTCGCCGTGAGCACCGTGAACCCCGGTTTTTGCGTCTCGTCCTTGTTGCGGGACCAGCCCTTCTTCCTCCGAGTATTTAACCACCTTGTTGGTCGCTCGACAGAAGTGGGAAGCAGGACAATCGTTCATGCTGCCGTAGCTCCCGCACTACAGGGCAAGACAGGCGTATACCTCAGCAGCTGTAGGATTACGGAGCCAAGCGATTTCGTTATCAGCAAAGAGGGACAAGAGGCGGAGAAGAAGATCTGGGTAAATTTCACTGCCCTCGATTGAAAGGCAGCTGCTGACTCGCTATTTCATAGGCTGAAACGTTGGATATTCTTGGTCAGGTCGATCCGGAAGTCACGCACGTAGCGGATCAGTATCTCAGCAAATAAGGCTTCTCTTATTCCATACCCTTGTGTTGTTACATTGCAGAATGGGTATTTCCTATCCCACCATATTTTCATCACCATCAGGGGTATCTGGTCACACATCTTTACGGGATTCGCCTGGTACAAGAGCTCCCCTGAGCTTATTGTTCAGGTCAAGCAAGTACTCCCGAGTTCTCGGCCAAATGTCCGACGTCCAAAGAAACCATGTTAAAAGAACAGCCAGGGTGAGAGGAAGCGTGACCGCCCAGTAGATCCAAAATCGGGTAGCAACGACAGGTTCACCGATAGGGGCATCCCACTGAAAGAAGGGCATTGCAAAAAGCGCCTGCGATGTTCATGAACAAAATGACAGTAAAACTCAGTCTTGCGACGTACTGCTGTGAAAGTTCCTGGTAAGAATACCATGGTCAAGATTGCGATGATCTTCATTGAATTGCTGTCCCGTTTGCTCTTTACGGCGAGGGACTTGGAATCCAGTGCAACGGACATGTTAAGCCTTCCTTCTCGTTGGGCGAGCAAATTGGTCATCTGTTCTCCTGCTCAGCCAGCTGACGAGTAGATATAGGGAGTAGCAGGAACGCACCAAGGAAATCTGACCTTGCAACATCCGCTGCTTGCTACGAATAACTGGGAGCAAATTCTCAGTCAAAGAGCGCAGATATCTCTCTTCGTCTTGATGTGCGACTCCTGACACCATCCAATCCATGGACGAGATCTCCCCAGGTTTGCGAGAATGGACCCGATCCGGACTGCCGATAACAAGATCAATGGCCTTCAGCAATGGATCATGAATGCGAAGGGAGGCCTCCATCATAGTCTCCCAGGTAGCGACTCGAGAGGCCAACGCGTGCAGTCTTGGTATAGCTGACAATACTTGGGCAGCGAAGGAATCGTTCAGCAAGTCCAGAGAGGTCAGCAATCGATAGTAATCTTCCTCCTCGGTAGCAGGAAGAACATGATGCGTGGCTTCCGAAATAGGGGCGCTTCCTTTAAGGTTTAGACTGTCCGCTACGCCTTTTCGGCGCAGTTTGAGGACTAGGAGAGGTACGAGCATTGGATGCCAAGCGTGAGTCCAATTATCCTTGACACCTTGCACAATCGTCGATATGAACTTATCGGCTCCCATCCAAGGCACGGATGAGACGAAAATGACCACATGGGTCACCTGTCGAAACGAATCGTAGGTAGCACCTAGACAGAGGTCCTCCTCTGGTCCTCCCTTCAGACGCATCTGGAACTCGTAGGGTACTTAACAGGACTATCAGAAGTCGTCGGATAAGAGTCAAGAAACAAACACGAACAGTTCATGCCGTCAGTTTGGGAGAAGAGGTCGTAGTTCTCGCACATAACCTCCCAAAAGTATCTTGATAGTCCTGTTGTCAATAAGAGACAACGTACAAGGCTAGAGTCGAAAGGTAACCTCCTAGAGCCGGGTTCCTGTTGATCGATCTGACAGAGTCTGTATTCTTAGTGAGACACATGAGCACGCAAAATCATGAATGGAAACATACAGAACCCGGATTTGCGCTTCGCGAGGCTTATCCTCGCCTTCCGCAAGACGGCCCTACAGTTTGGATTTTAGCGCCCTTTTCGTCCAGCTGTTCGAACAGCCTACGGATTCGAGCCATGCCTCTAGATTGGTCTCATTTAGTTCACCCTCCTCAATGAGTGGTTTGAGGCTGCCCTGTCGCGTATCCATGTTATCCACCAGAAAACCAACATCAACCAAGAAGCGCACATGGTAGTGAAATACTTCGATATATCTAGCTTTGAAGGCAGGCTTCGTCGCAAAAATGATCCCTTCAGGAGCGGTCTTCCGTTCGTGGTCAAAGCGAAGTCCATCGTCCCCGTCCGTGTTTGGACTGTCCGCCCGAGACATGAGTTGTAGTACCAATAGTACGAGTGAGGACTACTTATACAGCCTTTATGGAATGACGCGGAGCTCGGACGACCTGGGAAGATACGTGACGGTGCGGGGCTATGTATGCAGGGTGTTCCCGAGACGGGAAATCGTCGAAAGCAAAATATCCATAGCTAGTCGTGCTCCGGCTTTCTAGATGTCTCAATTGTTATCCCGGCATTGAGGGATATTTCCAGTAGGGGGTGGCCGTGTCTCACACACAAAGTGACGGCCTGCCGGCTGCAGAGGATACGCCAAGACCGCTTCATATCAGGGTTGGGCAGCACACAAGCAGCGGAACAGACCCACTGCCCATTCTTCTAGATCACCACCCCCATCATGCCAACCCACATGCTCACGCTGGGCAAGGATCCCGCCATCACGTACGCGTTCATGGACCAGCTCGCCGCTGCTCGGCCGGGAATGTACACCGCTTCCACTGCACACTCACCCGATGAGTTCGAGACGTATGCGAAGAATGGGAAGAATGACATCGATTTCGTCCTGTTGGGTGCCGCGCAGACGGATGACCAAGTCATAAACGCTAAGAGGATCGTTGCAAATGTTTGGGGAAGCGTGAAAGAGACCCTTAGGCAGGTTTTATCAGACGGGGGCACATGTGAGGCTTCACTGACGTCCCCAATAGGCTACCACCGAGTTTGCTTACCAAAGAGGGGAAGGAGGGAGGCATGCTCAAATGGTTCCTTGAGCAGGTGGAAGGTTCGAACGCATGAACATATAAGAGCCGAATTCCAACGTGAATTGCCATGTAGCGCGGTGGTAACTATCCGAGTATTGAAGTCAACACAGTCGTTTCGGTATATGATCATACTCGGTCCGTGCAACATAGTTTGATGTGGTCGATGTGGATCGTGACGCCTGGACGACCGACAACGGCGTTCCTCGGTGCAAATGTGAGGTAGTTTTCCCATATAGAGAATATCGCAGGCCCCAACATCGACGAGCCGCAGACATCCCATCATCACGAAGTTGACGACGAAGAATGCAATCCTGCAAGGGCTCATCAGGGAGAGCATCCGATAAATGAAACTTGTGCGCACGAGCAACGGATGCCTCTCAACGAGTTTTCCGAAAGTTCGTCATTGCTTCCTCTGCTCCCCTCCACCTCTTTCTGGATGATAAACTCTCTTTCATGTTGTGCTTCCTCCTCCTCCCGGGCACTACAGGCAGGAAACGGCCCAGCACAATCCCGGCGCTTCCCTCAGCCCCTGCAAACGCCTCGTCCAGGACGCGCCCGACTGCGTTGTAAATCTCTTCGCGCTCATCGTTCCCAGATTGACTAGCAATTCCTGCGTTCCGCACAATGATACTTTGAGGCTTTTGTGGGTTCCAACGAGACGTGCTTCGTAGCCTCTGTGACCCCATCGGGCCAATTAAGGAATATCGTAGAGAACTGGTGTTGCGCGTGAGTCGACTTGGTACGTTGCTCTTCAACGGATTGGCAGATAGGACGAGTAGGGATATGGTATTGTACACTTAGCTCAATATCAGCAAAAGCTTACATGAGGAAATAAGTGAGAACGCACTTCGCTGCTCCCAATCGGCATACCATCGCTCTTTCGCCTTGTCTTGCTCCTGCTTGCGCTCTAACTCTTTCACCACTTTCGCAGCCTCGATAAATTCCGGCCTATAAAGTGCTTGTAACTGCATACTTGCGGCCCCATGATGCCGCACACTTGCTGATGTAGCACGAAGTACAAGGCGGTATAGCGAGGTGAAGCGTACAGGAAGAGGCATGATGGACCCTGGTAGATGTTGAACCAGAACGACCACCACTTGCTCTCGGGTCAAATTTGTCTTTGTAAAATGATCACAAGAAGTCCTCCTCTTGTCAATCCTCGGGCAGAGAAACTGGATATAAGCTCCGTAGCCCGCCGAGAAGCTGATCGGATCGTTTGGCATGATGTTCAACATGCGACCCCAGCGCATCAGTGCCTCTGTGTTCGGACCTGGCTGGGGCACGTCGGCCGCTGTTCTCTCTATCGAGCTCTGAACCTGGTATCTGCGAAACATGTGCTGCTATGTGATCTGGAATGCAATTTACCACTGCGGCGCTTTTCTCGGCGACTGCCCTACTTCGGGGAATCTGAGATCCCCAAGAATGATGCCCGGCGTCTAAGCCGCAGGGTGCGAGCGTCTTCGGGGGCGAAATTGATAATGTATCCAAAGTCCAATCTCTCATTGATGCAATTCTCCGTCCCCAATCATTGACGTACAACGTGCGCAATTCTACCACAATCTGTGCGTATAAATGCAGCGCTGAAGCTCAGTGCCCAACATACACATACGGTAGCCCCACTTTATCGCGATGTCCTCCCCTTGGTCCTGGCAGCAAGGCCCGCCTCCTTTCCTCGCTTCCGCACCACTTCCAGAAGACGTCAAATCACGTACCTGGAATCGTGCTCTATGGGGCGGCGAGCTCGCCTTCGCTATCGGCACGCTGGTGAACCCTGGGTTCTCCGACATGCTCCTCTGTTGCCACTTGTCACTCTCATCCGTCTCAAGCACGAAACTCACGATCGACCACGTTCGCAGGGCGACCAGGGCGCTGCGCTGGAGCCACCCGGGAATTGCTACGACTATCGCTTTCCCTTCTTTCACTAGCATGGCGGATTTCAAGCCTGACCAGGGTAGGCTGCTGTACCAAGCAGCCAGTGGAGAAGAGGAAGTCGGTGACTGGCTGAACGAAGGCGTCTTTGATGACAGCGCCTATCTCAAGAGCGCTGGTGGGGACCTCGATGGGGCTCTGGACGCACTGAAGAAGGATATCGGCGCTATCACTGCCCCGCGCAACAAATGGATGCTCAAAGTCCACTTCATCGGTGACTCGGAATTGGGCAAGTACGGCATCCTGATTCAAACCGGGCACACAATATTCGACGGCATCGGCACATTCGAAGTGCTTGATTTGTGGCTGCATGAACTTGCCCAGGTGCTCCCGCAGAAGAAAGACTCTGGATGTCAGTGGGGCGAGGAAGCCGTCAGGTTGGCCAAAGCTGTCCCCGATCGGTCTGCTGCACCTTGGTCTGCGGAACCTACCCCGCCAGAACACCCAATATTGAAAGAGATCGGCGAATCCCTAAAGATGGCTCCTGTACGTCTGCTCGCACGGCTATTCTCAAGATGATTAATAGCATCTCCAGGTACAATTCGGACTTCCGGTGCTGCATCCAGACGCTTCACCCACATACACCGGTACGATCCTCAAGACCTTCCCTGCACCCCTTGCCGAGAATCTACGCCTGACTGCGCGGGCGCACGGATGCGGCGTCTTCAGCGTTATCGTAGCAGCGAACTATCTCTCGCTCCTCTCCCTCAACCCTCCCGCCTCATACACCGGCGAACTACACGCTCGCATCCTGCCCAACGCGTCTGACCTGAGGGCAAAGTATCTCACGGGCGGGCCTGACGCCAAGAAGGATCGCCGCACGTGGCAGGTTTCCAGCGCGCTGGGGGGTGGGGTGGTCAGCTCTAGGCACCTGGAACGTTTCCTAGCCAGCGATGACTTGGTCAATGATGTGTGGACGCTTGCGAGGGAGCTGCAGGAGCAGGTCAACGCACAAGCTCCATATCAGGCTACCGCGGCACAGTGGGTACCAGACGCAATCGCAATGATGATGGCATCATTCTTTGCTGCTCCTGCCGAGTACGCTTCCTATTTCCCGAGGAATTGAAATTTTAACGCATATCCGAGCAGGCTGGTCCCAAAGAACAAAGTTGTCAACGTTTCCTCCATGGGGCTGATGGACGATTCCCTCTCGCCTACCTACCCTACTACCTCCCCATCCTCAGAAGCAGTTATTTCCATCTCCCGACCTGTTTTCACGGGTATCGGTCCGGGCTTACCGCCAAACGAACTAGGTGCCGTCGTCCACCCCTACACGTGGAACGGCGAGCTCTTCCTAAGCTTCAGCTTTCCCGCTGCGTACATGGGAAGTGCGGAAGAGCAGAAGAAACTAGCAGAAAAGGGCGAGCCAGTATTATATGCTTACATCGAGCGTTTTGGGGAACTGTTGCGGAGGCTTGCAAATCCACAAGGGCTTCCGAACTAGATACTGACTGACAGTTCCTGGATATGGGGCGTGCTGCGTATTTACCCGTTGGTGGGGTGATTGATATTCACAATGCTGGTTCAATGAATGTGTCTAGAATGCGTAGTGAGGGAAGAATTTTGCATATCAGAGGCCCTAGAAAACCGCGACAAGGGCGCTTCTCTGGTAATGCCCATGTGTGCGCGACGTGATAGAAGCTGCAAAACCCTGGCGTTGGGGTACGAACCTGACAGTTTTCCCCGGTGCAGCAAACCAATAAGGAAATCATGACAATGAACTGTACCAATATAGATAGTCTATTGTCAAAATAGGACCTGCTCAGGTAGATCGGCGGACCGCAGTGTTTATTCGGTACCGGGTTTTCCAACAACTCACAGCAACGGTTCTTTGGAAGGTGCTTCTCGATCCATGACCAGGTTCTAGAAGCACGGCTCCTGGAGCTCCGCCGGCCGCGGACAGACTGAATGAGAGTGTCGTAACCGTCTCAGAAGCATTCCGAAGCATTTTCTGTTTATTTTGTTTCTGAATCAGACCCTTTCTTATGCTTCTCAGATTCTGACATTTTACAGCCCTTCGTTACCCCACATGAACAAATCCAGGGTCACTTACCTCTGAGAGAAACACGGTGGATCAGAAGCTGGTCCATTTACCGGGTTCATGTGGGTCATTGGATGCTTCTTCTCTCACTTCTTCTGCCTCCTTCTGGCCCTTGTGCCTCCCCTCCCCTCGTGCCTCCTTCTGTTCAATTCCAGCGGTTCATTCCGGCACAAAGTGTCTCACGTCTATCTGCCTCTCTCTATGGTATTTGTATTCATCCTGTCAACGCGCACGGCCGACGGCTCCGGTATGGCTTCCGTACGCAACCCGCTTTGAGCCTCCGATTCCCCCAGGTAGTGCGCGTGGAAGAGAGCGCGGAAAGCCTACGCCGCTGAAATGAGGTCCTGCTCTTGCACAATGTGCGAAATACCTGTATGTTGTCCTCGGGGAATCCAGGCAGCCCAGACTGGAGATGAATCGGGAACTTGCGGCGGGCCTTGAGGATCGGGCGGGATGGAGGAGGGACGATGGTGGGAATTCTCGAATTGTGCGAAGGGCGACAGGGAAGGGAAGCGCGCGGAGATGATCAAACGAAGGCGGAGGGACGATATAACTGTATGGCGATTCTCCCCGCTCCTGGTGCTGCCCTGGTGCGCTGGACGCTGGGATATCAACTGGGCTGATTCGCCCCATCCTGGCTAGTACACGTTCCCTGGTCTCCTCCTTTCCCTTCCCCTCCTTCCCTCCTACATCGCCGTCCCGAACGATCTATTGCCAGCTGTCGAATACCCCTCGCTTTCTTCCACATTTAGTCGACCACCGCCCTGCTGCACCCGATCAAGCGTCATCACCCCCCCTTGCTGGCATAGACAGCCTACCATGTCGTCCCTCTTTCACTGGAACCGCAAGTCCACACGATCCCACAAGTCCAATTCAAGCGGCAGCACGCTCGTCGGCTCCGATGGCCGAGTCTCCCCCACCTCGACATACAGCTCCAAGAAACTTAAGGTCTCATCATTTGACATGGTCGTCCTCCCCGACGGGAATATTGTGCGCGTGCAGGGGGAGGGTAAGATCGTGCCCGACCAACCGCAGCGATGGGAAACCGTGCTCGCCGTCGCGAAGGAGACGCTGCATGTGCTGCGAGGCATTGGAGTACAGGCGTGCGGGGCTGGGGACCTGGCCGCTAAAGTGTACGGGGCGACATGTATCCCTGCTGTGAGTGTTGTCCACTCATAGCGTTTTGGCATTACGCCCTAATATCACTATAGGAAATCGATCTTTTCATCCTTACTGACAAGGTTGACTACACTCAAGTTCTACGTCGCCTCATCCATCACAACCCCAAGTACTTCATCATCCCACTCACTCCTGCCCTGCGGAACTTGACGCCCTCTTCTCTGGATGCAACCACCGCCCTCCAGCAAGCGCTGTACTACCGGACCAGCTCCACCCCAATCCGTATCAACCTCCAACTCCCTCCAACCCCTCTCATCCTCTATCTCACCACCGCTGACATAACGTGGCATGCTTCTTTCCCGCTCATGCCGCTCCCTCTTGTGCTCCTGGATAAACTCCGCGCGTGGGTGCTGAACTGCTACATTCCTGCTGGACGAGAAGCATCCCTTGCAGAACGCCGGCGACTATGGGCGGAGCACGCGGATATTGAGGTGTTGATGGGTCAGGTTGCTCGCGCAAGGGTGAACCTGCGCCGAGAACGACTGTGCGCACACGCCTTCAAGAGAGACCGGAGGCCCGGCCTCCCCGTGCCGGAGGAAGAGGAGGAGCTGGAGGTCGAGCGTTGGGTGAGGGAATACATCACTGTGTACCCCGAAGGTAGGGCGATGTGGGCCGTTCTAGGCGTCCGGATATTCGACCCGCCCACACCGGCCACGACTGTCTATGGTCTGAGCCGCACCGGCACGCGGTCATCCAACTCCACAGGCTCGAATGGCTCCTCAGCTCCTCCCTACCCATCCACACCGCCTTTGCCGGCTCAGTATTTCCCTCGTCCGAGCTTTTCCTCAGACCAGATGAGTCTGCGCTCTCGCCCATCGCTGCAGCATTCCTCACGCTCGCACACCCCCATACCTGAATCTCCCATGACCCCCCTCTCGCCCGCGGACATCCCCCTCCCGATGTCCCCAGAATCAGTCGCCGTGGACCGGACGTATTCTCGCGCATCTACCCCATCTCGCGCAGCGACCCCGTCTCGTTTCCTCGTCCGTGAACCCCGGTCTCCATCTTCAAGACCACCTCTGCCGCCCATGCCCCCTATTCCTCCACCCAGTGGACTTGCAGGTACGGTCGTCCAGCAGCTGAGATCGAAGAGCCCTTTTGGGAGGAAAAAGAGCAGTCGGACGCTGGGCAAGGAGCGGGGAAAAGAAGAGAGTTATTTCGATTGGGACGACTAGCATTCGGTCGATTGAAGTATCGCTCTATTGGTTTCTCATTTCTGTGTGTTTCCTTCCCTGAGCCTTTGGAGTTTGGGTTGAGATTTGCTGCTTGTACATATGTCCTGTATAATGAAGTGGGATCCCCCAGTTTGGGCCTTCGATAATGATAAACGATGACATTATGAACCTAAAGTTTCATTGGATACCTTCAATTCTTAACCGACCACGGTCTCGATACACTCCTTTGTACTCATACTCTTATTTGATACACATACAGGTACAGTGGAACTTGGAACATGTCAATGAATTTCTCCTGGTATCTCTCCTAGGCCACTAGCCCTCAACCTGCTGATCAACCCAGTTGATGATACCACCGTTTCGCCCCGCCTCCGTGTTCAATACACCAGGAATCCTTCAAACCATCAGCACCGGTGGGCATGATCAGAAATCATATTTTAGCACCTTAGGACCCACTTCCCCGGACCCGGCTCATCCCTCTGCTGTTTCACTTTTCCCCATATGCTCGTGACAATCTGCCTAACAGAGGCGTCCTGCTCGGCCGTGGTAGTCGGGCCAAGGATCACAAAGTCGAGCTTGTCTTTCTCGGCTTTGGCATAGCGATCAAACTCCTCGAGCGAAAATGCCAACGTCCATGTAGCTTTACCCGGAAATGTGGACGCCAGCGGCTGCATTTGACTCTGGACAGCAGAGGGGTTGTTGCCCAACAAAAGGAAGTGCGACGTCATGGTCGTGACAAGGTGTGTGCTGTCGGATAGGAGATACGAGGCGGCACCGACCCTTTATATAGCACAAAGCCCACATGCGAGCTTTTCCTGTCTCGGAGGATATCAAGGGTCAACTGTCAAATGATTCCACGGCCATCAGCCGGAAACTGATTACATAGAAGGTACACTTAGCTTAATCTGGCATTAAGGTAAAAGCATTATAGATTACAACACATGTTCCCGATAGAGCACAAGTGGGCTAGCTGTTCATCCCGATATGATCAGAAGAAAGAATATGGTTCCAGAGCTCCTGCGAATCATGGTCAGATACGCAGACCAAACATTCCCAGCACGAAATTATCACCTCTTTCGTTCTGCAAACCGCCCTGCACTTCCCATTCAGCGTTTCCCACCACTCGCAACGATACACCATTTCATCTGGCTCGAACGCAGCAAGACCTTCATTCAGCCCCATATCCAGAGCTTCGCGACGTCTTCTTTCATCCTCTTCCACGGGCCGGAGAAGTAGTCGTTCAGCACGGGCGGTTCTCACTTGATTCTCAAGATCATCGTTCTCCTGCTCGAGGTGATTGACCTCGGCCCTCAAATCCCGGATCCGCTTCTGCAATAAAGGTTCCTGAGCGGCCTTCTCGCGTATCTCTACCAACTCGCTGCGCTCAGCACGCTGCAATTGCAAGTTCGCCATTGCTTTCCACTGGTTCACATCGGCCTCTAATGCAGCAATACGACCCTCAGAAAACAATCGCGCGGCTTGAATGCCGTCCGTGATCTGACCGCGGAGGATGGTATTTTGTGTGCGAAGTTCATCAGCTTCACTCTTGTTCTCCGCAGCAGAAGCCGAAGCAGCAGCGTATACCTCTCGGAGGAGGTCACCATTGGCGTCGCTGTCTTCAGCACGCTTCGTCAACTGAGCCACCATTTCTGTCAACGAAGTGATCTCGGCTTTTCGCTTCTCCAACTCGTTGCGTAGGTTAGCCTCTGTGGCCTGGACCAGAGCAAGCGAAACTTTGAGTTCATCTCGTTCGGCGGCAATGACATCCAGCTGGCCGCGTAGTGTGACAAGTTCTTCTTCAGTCGAGTTGGTGTTGCTGCTTGAAGGTATGATTCCAAGATCTTGAGAAGGTGGTGCAGCCCCAACGGGAAACGTAATTTCATCGTCCGCAACAACTTCCGGTGTTCTGACAGGTGCGCTTTCGAAGAGCTCCTTCGTTAAGAACTCGCAGCGCTCCTTGTACATATCACGTTCCTTAGACAGCTCATCGTTCTTGCGCTGCAGTGTGTCGCGGCGGGTCGTTTCAGCAAGCTTCTCCGCACGCAACACCTCAAGCTCTTGCTCACGATTCCTGACCAGGTCGAGAGCGGCCTGTATTTCAGATGCGTTCTCGTCGAACGCGGGTAAGACCTGACGACATGGTACAAATGAGCCAGAGGGTAGATCACCGTGTGATAGAAGCATACCAAATCACTCGATTCTTCCTCTGGGACAGGTGCGGTAGCGGGAACAAGAACATGGATTTCTTCCACAATGTCGACCACCTCATCTTCATTGTCGCCACTGCCCCGCTCATCCAACGGCTCCTCAACCAGAACTTCCCTATATACGACTTCGTCCTTTTCGCCATGCGGCTCACCGTGGACAGTCTCAATCTCAACCATGTGCTCATCACGAATAATATCCTCGTGGATAACAGCAACTTCTTCGTCACCAAGTTCAACGACTTCGGTCTCTGTTCTGACCTCGGACGCTTCTTGTACGGCTTGTCCGCCACCCACAGCAGGCGGCAAGTCGTCAATCGTTTCACCAGACTGATTTGTCGTAGCTTCGTTTCCGCCGTGATTGTTCCGCACATCGCCGGTCCAACCAGTTGCTGCCCAGTCGTCGTCTTCGTGAACAGTAATAACATCATTCGGCGGTTTTTTCGAGGAGTCGGTATCGATGGGGCGCATGCTGAGAGGTTTGGGTGGTGCTGCCTTCTTCGGCTGACTGGGACTCGAGAAACTCTCAATCTGCGTCGATATCGGTTGCGTATCTGCTTCATTGTCGGAAGAGTCCAGAAGGTTCTTCTTGCGGACGAACTTGGAGGGCGTGACTTGATCACGTATGTTAAAGAGGGAACGCATTCGGTGGGAGACATCTGCGGTTGTCTTCTGCGATTTGGAGGGTGTAGACTGGGTGTTGCTGAATACTACCGAATGTGGTTGCGAATCGGGAACCACATCCGTTTCCACATTCGTGCTTTTCGCCAAGGGCTCATCCACCTTGCGCTTCTTCGCCTCCCTACCAGGTGTCTCAGAAAGTACGCTCGACCGCTCACGCTTCTTTGTGTTCTCTCGACTTCGTACCGTTTCTTTTTCTGGGCTATCCCTTTCCTGTGGCAGCTCATCGTTCGATGATTCTATATCGATGACTATGGCGTTCGGGGGGAGAGGCGGAGGTTTCTTCTTCTTGCCCTTAGGGGGGCCGATTTTTATGGGTCTACTGGTAGACGCGGATCCGTTGGATGCATGCGCTCTTTTTCTCGAACCCGAGATGCGCGGTCGCAGATCTTCATCCTCATCTTCATCTTCATCAGCATCGTGGCCCTCGTCCAGACCATTCGTGTCTCCATCAGGCTCTGATAGGTGCCTCGTTTCCTGCAAGTAATTCCCAGGCTTCTTTTGTCGGGGCAGCTCCTTGCCTTTTCCAGTCCCGTTGGATCTGGTATTTATCGTACCTCTTCGACTACTCACAGCAAATCCCAGTTCATCACTTTCTTTCCCTTCATGATGTCGATCTACATGGTGTGATAGACGTTGACGAGGGCGCTTGGATATATGTTGCGGCTCGTCTTCTTGGGATTCATTAGGCTCAGCGGAGCTGACGTTTCGCTTCAGAGAGGCACGCGTCTCCGAGATATGCTTGACAGGTATCTCGACATCGACAGGGTTCAAGTGGATAGAAGAGTAAGGTTTTGACGCGGAAGATGAGCGCGTAGTGCGCGAATGGGGTTTAGCTGTGCTGGATGATCGCACAGAAGAACGAGACGTTGAGGACTTGGGTCCTAACATCACGCGTCAAGATTGGACGAGCCGTAGCATGCATGGCTTAGCGCACCATCACGATGACTAGCCTCTCCCTCCTTTCGATCCATACCCTCTTTTTTTCCCTTCCTTTTCTTCTTCCTCTTCCACTCCGTAATGAGGCCGGGGGTGCAGTTCGTCTTGGGTTCCCACGAGGGTCTCCATGGTCTCCCAGTGTTTGGATCTGTCCCCTTCCACTTCAAAAGATATGTTCCACCTGTCTCGTCCTCATCCAGTATACACTCCACGTCAAAGAAGTTGTCTGGGTCATCTGATTCGTGTGGAGAGAACTGAGTCTCTTCGAGTGGTCCATGCTGCACCGTGTCGGATGATGTTCCAGCTCCAGGAGACGGCGATGCTTTTGACGTCGATCTACGCGCCATCAATGTGCAGCGCGGTCGTACTCAAGGCACAATGGTGGCCGTCCAGATCTGAAGGCAAGTAGGATCTGAACGTGTATTGTCGAACTGGCGCTGAGGGCAGATGTGAGTCGCGTAAACGGAACCAATTCTTCAGAGTGTTCCGACCCGGCTTCCAAACATATTTGATCCAGTACTCTCTCCATCCGCATCCGACTCACTCATGTTGAAATCACTATAATGGGACACTCACAGCTCCTTCCAGAGATCTGGTTGATCATATTTGAACTCATCTCCGATAGTTTTATGGGATGGGAGGCTGACCATCCTGTCGTACCTTTGTTTCATGTTTGCAAACAATGGAACGTAAATCTACCCCGCCGCTGTCCTTGAAAGAACCATCGCTGACTACAAGCAGGTGCTGGTCGCGCCGCTCATTTACCGACATCTGTGCGTATCAGGATTCAACTGCGCTGAGAAGCTCTCGTTGGCACTCGACGACGGGACGAAAAGGGGCATCCTTGTCAACCCCGCCGTGCGGTCTCTCGATGTCAATCCTCCAGTATCCAGCACTACCCATGCCCTCGATATCTTGAAAAAGTGTTCACACTTGCACACCTTTGACGCGCGTCCCGCCTCTCCTTCTGATCTTCGCTGGTTGGAATCACTTGCCATGCCTGGAGGAACGTTGAGGATTCTCCACGTACATCTTTGTTTCGGTAGTGGTTGGGACGGCGAATCGCTCATATCCATCGGCCGGCTTTTAACCTTGAATCGTCTCTACGTTGTGGTCATGCCACTCAACCACATGGATGCTACACAGTTTCCTGCAGTTGATCCATGGATGTTACCCGATTTAGTCCATCTGTCGGTGATGTGCACCAAGGACGGGCCGGGTCATGGTGCATTTACGAAATTCATTGAACAATGCCATTTTCCGTCGCTTCGATCCGTCAGACTTTTAAACAGACGATCTATGACAATCCCACTCAGTCCTGCCTTCTTTCAACGTCATCCTGATCTCCGCGAGATAGCAGTATCGCGGACCCAGTACGTGCTTACTCTACGGGATGTCCTGCCGTCGATTCGCACCCTCAGCTTGGATCAGTTTACCGCTAAACTTACGACATCTGATGTGGAGAAATTTCCATCAAGCATCCGTACCATTCGCCTCGAATGGGGGGCAGCGCAAGATGTGGACGTTTACGACGCACTTTATGTTGCCCTCGAGAAAGGCGGCCATTCGATGCAGATCACCGTCGTGCGGTTTGGGGACCAGAGGTGGACATGGAGGAGCGCTCTTCGGTTCCAGAATTGGCAGGAGACATGGGTAAGAAGAGCAACTGTTTTACATGATCGGGGAATAGCGCTTTTGGATTGGAGAGGAGATGATATGTTCTCAGTGAAAGGCATTCTAGACTCGGAATATATGGGCCGAGACTAGGTGTTTCATTTATCATATTATCAGTGGAATGACATATGCATTCCGTCAACTGAGCGCTTTCACAATCGGATGCGATCATACAGATTGGAACCCCATTCGGAACATGCTATTCCTAGGATAGATGTTCACGTGACTTCTAACGTGCCCAAAGCTTCCGCCTCAGGTCCACCAAACACCAATTCCTGATGCAGGGTACGTATAAGTGCAAGTGGGGTTTGCCGGTATGCTGGAAGGAATGCCGTATGAGGTGTAGGAGTGTAGTGAGTGTGTAGGAATGAGCGTATCCCAATATGGGAGAGTCGATGTCAGGACCCTAATGGGTTGCTGACTAAGCAAGGCTGAGACGTTGCACTTGCTCTCTATACCGAAGCCAGGCAAAGCCCGTCCTCAGTACAGGTATAGTAAAATGGTGACCAAACAACAGATAATGATTACTGACAGCTGAGACTCATGCATATAGCATGGATCCTACCAGCGAGAGATCATAAAGTGATGGATGGTAAGAGAGAAGGTAGGATGTAGTTCTAGCTGCACTCTATAGCGCGTTTGCTTCCGTTTTGCTTCCGTTTTGCTTCCGTTCCACTTACCTAATCAGGCAATGGTTGTGCGGACGTCTCTGTGCTATACCGCATCATTTCCAACTTGGTACAACCACGATGAATGGCAAAGTTTTACTCGTTCCTGAGCTCTGGCTCGTGATATTCGAATATTTGGTCGAGGAACGGGCAAAGGACTACTATAGTACTCGTCCCAACGATTTTCTGCAAATAATCCTGGTGTGCAAACAATGGAAGGTGCGAACACATAGTTCTGGGTGTCCGCGGTACTTTTCCTAATGAATCAAGGCAGACTCTAGCACAACCATTGCTTTATCGATGTCTGAGGTTTGGTAATCGGGAAGCACTCGACAGATTTTTGCTATTGTTTCAGACCGATTCGGCACGATGTCTGCAGATCGAGCAGTCGATTAGATCCTTGACCGTTCGCCATACCGTGGCCCGTTCACGACAACTATCTCAATTGCTTGGCCATTGCTCCAACCTTCGAGAATATAAGGCCGATTTAGTTGGCGCTGCAGATCTCAGTGCCATCGAGCAAGCGGACTCGTCCAAACGCTGCCTGGAACGACTCGACATTGGCCTCGACTTACGCGGTTGGGACCTCGCGCCGCTTGCCCTCATTGGTAGCTTAACTGGACTCCAGCATTTGGACCTTGAAATAATATGCGATCGTGGGGGACCGCTTGCCACGAACCTCAATTCTGCAGACCCTTGGAACCTGTTGCATTTACGGTACCTTGGTGTTACGGAATTATATTCGGATGCGAATGTTACACCTTTCGAAACTTTCTTGGCTCGAAGTCGCTTTCCCAATCTCGAGAAGCTGAAGATCATCTATCCGCAAACTTCTTTTTCTCCCGCCATTCAGGACTTCCTGCAAACGCACCCACATATCGAGGACCTTGAGCTGTACTCTGCATCCGACATTGCCGCCGTACGATGCGTTTTACCCTCGCTTCAAACGCTTGTTCTGCAGACTGATTCCGGACTGGACGCTGCCCTCATCGAGAACTTCCCGTCTTCACTTCGGCATATCCGTCTTATGTTTTCCTCTGAACAGAACTTAGGGCACGGGATCGAGCTATTCGCAGCGCTTGGGTCGGGATCTTGTCCATTTCACCTGGATCGTCTGCATATGGGTGGAGAGTGGACATGGAGAGGTGCCTTCGAGCTGCGTTCTAAACGCGCCAAATGGTTATCAAGAGCAGAGGATCTGCGTAACAGAGGAATCGCCATGTTAGACAAGAACGGAGACGATGCTTTCACAGTCAAGGAGATTATGGACAGCGAAGCGCTCGTGCAGACACCCAAGACGCAAGCTATCGTGCCAGTAGATCAAATGTTTTTATGCTACTAAGGCTACAATGGATTTATTGCAAATGGAACATTGGCTAAACAAAAGTGCGATCTACGCGTCCGGCATTTGCGGTGATGATATCCCCTGATCTAGCGTTTTGCGTAACGTAAGAACCTGGAGCCGATGATCGTGATGACGAAGTTGGCCGCAAAGTAACAGAACAGGATCCAGAGGTCACGTTCCCTATGGCTATAGTCAATATTAAGGGGGGTGTAGAATTCCTGTCCGACGCGATATTGGCAGTACTGGCAGTTGGACGTGGCGTTATTATTTGCAAGGTATCCTCCGACCTGAGAGATGAAGTCGCCCGCCCATTGCTCGCACGTTTGTCCAGAAGGCGGTTGGAAAACAGAATACTCCGATTCACGGCAAACAATCGGCAGATTATATAGCTCATTCGCAATCAGACCAGAAACAAGACTGCTCCCAAGTAAGTGACATAGCTCAGCTGGTACCCCAAGTACATACCGGGTGAATGGCGTCAGTTGATATAGCCAGCTTCGCCAGAACTTCCCAAGTGTCGGATACGGGATGGTCACACCGCAGAAAGTTGTGAGTACCAACATGATGAATGGGTTGAACAGTGCCGCAATGCGGATGGAGGGTGACAGAGCCCCTATCGCCTGTGGGGTATAATATGAGAATCATGTTAATCAGGCAAACAAAGTGGGCTCACCTGTCCAAGAGAGACACCAAACAGTTCGACAAACAACACCATGGCAAATGCATAGCCAGCATTGCCAACGAAATTCATCGGATAGTACATCAAAAGGAAATATGCGACTGCGCAGATGAAGGAGTAAGGGATCTCAGCCAGGAGCTGCCCAACGGCAAAGACGACAGGCGAATACATCCTGCTGGAGGCTTCGCGAATAAAGACCATACGGTTCAGGATAAACATGGGTTCGATCTGTCCCATGATGATAGCAGGCAGGACGCTAACCCAGAAAATCGCAAATACGCGGTACTGCAGGTCCAGCAAGCTGTGGTTCAGGCGGAGGAATGTAACGGAAATCCAGAACGAGATGAGCACGTGGATGAAGAGCCGACTATAGACGTATTCCGGCCTACGCCAGAGCGTCATCAGGGCTCGACGTGTAACCAAAATGAGCTGGTATGGCAACTTCGTAGCATAGAAACTTGGCTTCTCCTCTGTGTTTGGTTGCTTCAAAGCTTCCCTCTTGATGTCCTCGATTTCCTGTCTGAGCTTCTGGTTTTCTTCGGATTCGAGCCAGATCTCACCCCAATCCTTGTGGCCTATGCGCTTTGTCGTACCAGCGCCAATGGCCTCGAGCATGAACTCGGCCGGGTTATCCGTCGGGCCGCAGATAGCGCCATTCTTAACGAAGTAATCTCGAAGGTAATGACTGTCCTTGCCGATAGGTCCACAATACACGGTTTCCCCACCGCGCTGCAAGAGGAGCAAACGGTCAAAGCTCTCGAACAAGAGAGACGAAGGCTGATGAATGGTGCACAAAATGGCTTGGCCTGAATCTGCTAGCTTGCGTAAAAAGCGAACAAGATTCCAAGCGCTCTGACCATCCAGACCGGAAGTGGGCTCGTCGAGGAAAAGCAACAGCTGCGGCTTGCTAGCAAGTTCCACGCCGATGGTAAGTCGTTTGCGAGCTTCCACACCGAGACCCGACACCAGTGCTTCGGAGAGGTCATCCATCTCGAGCAACTCGATGATTTCTGCCGGAAGTTAACACATGACACCACCAGGGCGGCTGCGCGCTTACCCTCGACATACTGGTCTTTTTCTTCCTTAGGAATAGATGCTTCTTGTCGAAGATAGGCAGAAAAGCGCAGTGCCTCGCGGACAGTAGCACTTTCCTCGTGCACATCCATTTGCTCCGCGTATGCAGTACCTCTGGCGAAGTTCGCGCCGAGGGGTCGACCATCTAAAGCCTGATCAGACCTGTCCTCTACAGCATATAGGAATTATACGTACTCATCAAAATTTCACCCTGAACAACTCCAATATTCTTACGTTGTGCCAGAACATCCAGACACGTTGTCTTGCCAGCACCGGAGGCGCCCATGAGGGCAGTGAGACTTCCAGGCTTCACATAGCCATAGACATCGTGCAGCAGACGCTTCGATCCACCTTGAACAGGTACGTGGTAGTTGAGGGCCTCAAAGGTGAACGGCTCCTTCGATTTGACCAAGCTGGAAATATCGTGCTTTGCTTCTCCTCGTCCGGCAGCTGCCCGCCTATCCTCAAGCTCCTGGTTGAGCTTCTTGCTCTCCTTGTTCTCTTGGGCAAAGAGTTGGACCGAACGTGCAGTATTAGCGTGGTTCTTCCTTTCCATAGACACGATCTGCGTGATCTGGAAGAAGACAAAAAAGGCCACAAGGATGCCGAAGTTGCGCCAGATCCAGTGGACGTCCATGGCGAAAGCAGCAGACACGTAATTGCTGCCAGCAACAGAGGATTGACCTGGGATGGCGCCGGGTAGGGTGCAAACCTGATTGGGACCAACCTCATTCCTGGTATGTTTTCAGCTCCCTTCAAGGGCACACCTCAGAACGAGAACTTACGGATACTTGTTCAAGTTCAAGCCGTTGTTCGGAACGACATAGTTACCAACGCAGTCCATCTATCACCCATGTCAACAAGAATGGTACAGTCTCAGTGGAAGAAACACACGTCAATCCGGGACATCTCATTCTCTAGTAAGCCCTGGAAACCGTAGTTGAGCGGATTGAGATAATAAATCCAAAACAACCAGCGTTGCATCGAGAAGACGGGGATGAGGTAACCCGAGTAGAGGATCGCTGTAATCTATCATCAGTAGTTTGTATCATGCCGCCGAACAGAATGCACGTACTGAGCGGCACGAAGAGTGCTCCTAGACGGAAGGCCGTATTGAAGTCCGGGCAGAGGATACCAAACGTGCGGAAGAGGCCCTGCATGGATAGGAAGCCGGTGTAGTTAATAAGATGGAATGTGAAGAACCCGCCTGCGTTACGTGATAGGCCAGCCATACTGTATTAGCACCCGGTTCAGTTTCACTTTGCCGCGAGCAGGTAAGGGGAACTCACAAGTAAACAATGATATCGAACAACGTCATCCTTGCGAACGAGAATGGGATATCGGCGATCGTGTTAGCGACAGGGAGCGCCGCGCTGCGATAGAACGCGTAGGTAGTCTGCTTATACAGGATAGGACGGCCCAGCATCATGGTCGGCAGCTCACCAAACGCGTCGAGCGCGTTGAGCAGCAGGGCGACGAAGATGACCGAGCCGCGGGTGAAGCCACCTGCTGCTGTGAGAGGGAGGTTAAGGAACGCACTGCCGATTATGATAGCGAGGACGATCGCGGTTCCGTACGAGGTGAGGAGGCCAAACCGATCCTGCAATCTACAAGACACGCGGCTCAGCATCATCCTGCACGAGTTGGGGAGAACGTACTGGAGCTTGAACTGCCTGCATGTAAGCGCTTTGACTTGACCCCAGAAGCTGCGTGTATAAGGGCTGCCCCTGCTCGCCCCCCGTTTCTCCTCCAAGACTGCGTCCCTAAACTCCTGCTGCACCCCCTCGTTCGTGCTCACAAACGTCTCATACTCCTTCCGCTCCTGTTCCATGATCGTCCAGTACTTGCCAGCGCGGAACGCCTGTTCGAGTTCTTCCGGCGTACGGGGCGCGCGTTTCTCCCAGCCTTCTTGATACTCGCGCTCATTGGGATCGGTACAGCCCGTCAAGTAGTCCGCTGTTGTTTGCCTAGGGAAATCTTTGAATCCAAGTCCGACGAAATATGCACGTGCTTCCGTTGCAGCGCCGTAGAATACCTGCCGCCCCTGGTCGATAATGAGCACCTTGTCGAACAGGCGGTAGATGTTCTCTCCCGCCTGGTACAGGCTCACGAACGTCGTTTGTTCCAGGACGTCTGTGAGAACGCGGAGGGAGCGCGTATAGTCCAGTGCTGTGCTTGCATCTAGCCCTCGGGTACTGTTATCCCATGCAGAGACATGGGCTCGGGAAGCCATCATCTCAGCGATACTGACGCGTTTCCTCTCGCCGCCAGAAACACCACGAACGAACTCGTTCCCGACTAGGGTGTTCGCAGTGTGCTGGATATTAAGCATTTTTAGCGTCGTCGACTCGATCTCTTTGTGCAGTTCGTGCCGAGTGAGCCCGAGCCGTTGGGCAGGGGGCATCTTCAGTGCCAGCGCAAAGGAGAGTGTGTCGTGCACCGTAAGCGTGGCCAGATGGATGTCGTCTATCGATCAATCAGTGTCAACTCCCCAGAGTGTGCAAATCGTGACAGTATGCACCTTCTTGGTTGTACACCACCTCGCCTCTGAACCGCTTCTCCATCTCCTCCGCACCGATACCCGCATATTCGACCCTCCCCCCCACCTCCAGATACTCCCCACGACGGTTGGAGATCGCCTTGAGGAAAGTCGTGCAGCCTGAGCCTGGGCGTCCGAGGACGAGGCACATCTGACCGGGACGTAAGACACCGGACGAAGGTTGAAGGATGGCTTTAGGGGTAGCGCGGAATCGCTGGGGACGTAGGAGTTGCAGGAGGCACAGAGGGATGAAAAGGATTGAATTGAGGATTGCCGCTATACATCGTATACTGATGTCAGCACTCTGAGCAGATCGCAGGACTGGGAACGCACAAAGGAAGTTTTCGACGTGCACCCTCTTGCCTCCTATTCCCCAAACCGTCAAATCCTCCCATACGACGCCCACTCTCTTCCTCTTCAGTCCCCTCTCCTCTCTTCGCTCCACATCCGCCGTCAGATAAGCAAGCAGGTCAAATTCCTCCCCCGCCTCGCCCTTCTCGACGTCTCCTGGTCCAGCATGCGCCGCCCTCGAAGCATGAGAGCGCTGTGTGAGGGTCCGCGCAAGGGCGTTGAACTCTTCTTTGGCGCCTCGGAGGTCGACAGGGTGTGGGTCGAGAGGCTCGCCATTGCCCACCTCGCGTTTCTCTGACTCTTGCAGGTCGGATGGACCACTGCGGGGAAGGAGGGAAGGGTCTATAGGAGTGGTAGCGCGCGTGCGGTCATCGTCTGAGCTGGTGTCCGGGGCAAGGGCACCCGGTGCAGAAGGGGGTGCACCTGAGGTCGACATTGCTAGCTGAGGGCGAAGAGGGGTAGAATTTCATCACTTTCCCAACGTTTAATAGCCTCCCTATATTCTGAAATGGGGATAAAAGTGTTTGTAATCCGCATAAAAGAATTGCTGACCATTTCCATGATTTGTTTACCCTATTGACCAATAATGTTCTTTGACTGTTTTTGCGATAGGGTGGGTTCCTTGGCTAACCCGTGCCGTATTTCGCCATCGGGCATCAACTGATACCTCCGCTTTTTTCTCACCACCCCGAGCTTCTGTTCTTCCTACACCATTCCCATCAACCTAAACCGTAGAACAAGCAGTGGATCTTAGTCATCCAAGTTGTAGCTCATCTGTGACAAACGCATTGCAAGACACATTACAACGCAATCCAGGACGATACAGTCCCAACCCGGCGATATAAATGTACAACACTAGTTTTCTGACTAGCTTTCCCCATGTACGTAACCAAGTCTGACGAATTTGATTTACCATAATTCCAATTCTATTGCCATTTCTCACAGTTTCGTGCCGATCGACAGTCGGCACCGCAATCTCTGATACCCCTTTCATACCCCATGGTACCCACAGTTACCTTCTCATTCGCCGTTCATTGAGCCAATGTGGGAACGTTCCAGCTGACCTATTATTCCCAACCGCATTACTCTCGGACCCGGACCAAACCGCACCACATCCGGACAAAACTTCCGCCCTCCGCGGCCCCAGCCCGCATGGCGTTTGCCAAGTAAATACAACGACCAAGCACGTGCATGAGCGCTTATCGCTGCAGCTTAGTCAGCCCATGTTGGCCAGCATCATGATTACTCAGCTTCTCTAGCTCTGAGCCTCCGATCATTCCATTCAGCACGTCAACGTACCATCATGAAGCCTCTATAACCCTAGGCCACCAATCATTTCCATTCAGCACTGCGGATTGGCAGTGAATTCCTGGTTTCTTCGCCGACGCTCTCAGACACTCCATACAAGATGTATTAGGAAGACAATGACTTGCTCGATCTCGCAGCACATGCATAAACCGCCCAGGTGACGGCATCTTCCAGCACACTGAATTAAGATAACGTTATACAACTACTGTCAGAGGCGCCCGATGAGAGCTAATCATCGGCCGCCTCGCCCACAGGCCGCGGCATTCGAAAGCCTTTCTACTCTATGTAACGTGCCCCTCAGAAGTTGTCTGCATCTCTCATGGGTATATGGGAGTACAGCGGCGTGCACCCATCGAGTAAGTGTACTGGAGGATGGCTATCAGCCACGAGCTACGATATCGATGTTAGACAAACTCACCCAGATCGTCCACAATGTGGTGTCCGCGAACTCGAGCGACCACTTCATCCCCTTTGTAGTCCAGAGCCAAGATTCCCAGTTCTTCCAGGCATCTTGCAGCCTCAATCAGTTCTTTCGATTCTGAGTACAGATGCACATCTTTCCAGTTGAAACGTTCGTCTTCGAAGTGCAAGAACTTGAAGTTGATCGTGTCGACGCATTTGCGCAAGGATTCAAGAGTGTCAAGGAAGATCCATGCAGGTGACTCCACAACCCGTATTACCGTCGCACGAATATGCACATGTTGAAGCGAACGGGGGAAATACTGCAAGTACTCCAGAGGGCCGTCGAAGATGAAATGACGCACTAAAGAGAAGTATTCAAGTTCCATTCCTTCATACTCTGATTGCACCTTCTCCATCTGTAGCCACTGAAGGAGGGGACCATGGTAAGAGAGAAAGTCGTCCAGAAGGTGGTAGGTCCGCTCCACCGTCAGATTACCCAGTAATGCCAAGTCCACAAGGGAGTCGAATTTGCAGTCTGAGAACGGGTTGATCAACCCCGGGTTGAAGATGTTCAAGTGCAGAGAGCGAAGGCTTGGAAGGTCGATAGTCGGAAGGCACTGTTCATCCGGTAACTAGACGTCAGAGTACCACCTAGCGCTGAACGCTAGAGACCGCAGCGAGGAGAACATGTCAAGGGCATAAAGGAGAGGTACCAGTGCTTCCTCACTCGGCACAGTGAGGTTCAGCTTTCGTAATGTTTCCGAACAAGTGCTGCCCAAAACCTCCAGCTCGCGAAAGGAAGCCGTGATGGTGACCTCCTCAAGAAGGTGCCACCCATGAGATAGGAAGTGCCAAAGACCGGGATTTGTTGTGATATGTTCTCTTGGGTTGCATCGCTTGGGATGTGGTTGGAGTATATGGATATTTCGGACGAAGGTGCCTGGAGGAGCGTCGGAGAAATTTGATGGCCATAAACGCTCAGCGATGGGCTGAAGAGGGGCTGAGCAGTCCATGATTCGAATTATGCGATAAAAGAGCGGCAAGGCGACGTGCTTCGTATTGATAGGTTAGTACTATCGCATGGCAGTACAACTCATATGTACTTACATTCCATTGCTTGCAGACGAACAATAATGGAAGCAGTGAATTCGGTTCTCCTGCTTTCCACTGTATTGTAGTTAGTCCGTCGTAGGCATACTCAATATATTCGTTGCCGGAACATCCGTTTTACCGGCTCGCATGCGGTATCCGGATACTGCCGGACCAGTTACTGCTGTCGACTTGGATAATCCTAGGCGCTCTAAGAGCGCCAAACTGGATAGTCCCTGGGCGTTCTGAGAGCGTCAGCTTTGGGATAATCCGGGGAAGTACTTACGCAGTTTTTTTTGGATAATCCGTAGATAATCTCTGTTCATGCACACGTGAGGGGTGATGCCACAGCGTTGGATTCAGTTCGGTACAGGTTGATTCACGACACTACTATCACATGGTAAAGTGCATACAGATATATGACATGGTAGGGTAACTGCATTAATTAGAATACCGTTTCTTCGTTGGACGTGATAATGAACGCACCGTTAAATGTTTCCATCCCCAGTGTCCATCACAAACCGTTTTAACTAAACGTTCCGCTTGTCCATCCTCTTCTCATTCTTACACAGGAACCCCGCACAACTTTCCGAACGACAGGAAGTTCAACCATTTCTTCATCTCGGCCATGCAGTCGAAGTCGTTTGCGTTTTGGTGTTGCTCGATGTGGATCATGTTCCCGCCGAGAGCGTTCTGAGAGTTGTCGTGCTGGAGAGGAGGGGGATATGTCGAATGGGAAGGAGGCCAAGTGGGAGGAGGAGGCGGATAGTTGGGGCCCGGGTGATTAGCAGCGTATCCGTAACCGTAAGAACCTTGCACAAGTGTTAGAAACGTTCACTAAGAGGATGGAACAGACGCACCATGGCTCATCGACGGCCCACCTCTCAAAGCTCTGATCCCCCGCTCAACGTCTCTCTCCACTGCCCTGGCCTGCACCAAATGTTCGTAAGCTCGATTCACGCCATCTTGTGCTTCACGTTCCCGAAGGTAGTAGAACGGAGCGGCGAAGGTCGGGTAGTGGGCTCAAACGTAGTTCAGATGGTCGACGGCTTAAGATACGGACAATTTCGCGCGTTCCACGTTGATACTTGCCATACCGAGTTCCGTTTCCAGCTGTATCAACGCGTGGTTGATCTGAGGCAGAAACACTTGAGGGACGGGGAAAGAGTGCCCAATGTTGATCGAGACCTTCTGAGTAGCAGAGGGGTTAGCCATTTGTAGGTGTTTCCTGTCACCCGTTAGAGCGTTTAACCTCAACCTTAGAAAGCAAACAACGTACCTGTGTAGTTGGTGAGAAGCACTGTTGCGTCCAGAGACAGTTCACTCACCGTATTCAGGCGCGTTCGCGGAATCAATCTCAGTGCGGTCCCCTACTGACGTTATGCAAATTAGCGGCGGTGCCGTCCCTTGTCCCCTTACTATGTAAGTCACGTGATCCTCCACATCAACAACACCGTGTTTTACCTTCTTTGATGTTCCCCCCCTATGTGTATACCTGCATATTACCATTTGAAATGCAGGATAAACCCATTATGTGGGGCCAATCTCCGCATAACAATCCCCATTGAGAATGGCTGCTCTATCTCCCTGTCTGTTCTCCCCATGTGCCTCAGCCTGGGACATAGATCAATATATGTCAACACAACAACAAGGGTTAAGAACCCACCACTGTCCGGGGTTCACAAGTGGAGTGTTGCCCACCAGACTGTTTGGTCCAGCAAATTTGCACATCTTTTCCTGTGAAATTCTGTTAGGATTAGGGTTGAACTAGTCAGTCATTCCTTGACATAATTCAGCATTTCATACTCATGAGTACCTGTAACATCCACTCTTCTTTTGAACATTATTCCATCCACTACCAACAGCTCCTTGACCTTGAGTTGAAGCACTCCATTGTGTCCACACATGTCCCTGCCTCATTCACCATGCACACTTGCCAAATGCTCTCCAAAAGCCACCCCAATCCCATCATACATATGCAGGGATCATTGCCTGTTTGTAGCTTTCCATCAGCATTGACTTCATGTGGATTCCAGCCTGTCTCACATTGATGTGAAGCAGGTTAGAGAACAGAGCAGTGGAGGATCTGTTCCAACCATGACAGCTCAGGACTGGGGTTGAGATTTGCTTCCATGTAGCACTGCCCCTCTCATCATCATCTGTTTTTTTTTGGCCAAGAACAAAATGTGGCTAACACATGGTATTTCACTATGTACAAGCCAGACCAAGATAGCCTGATGGCATTACATTGTCCCCTCCCTCCAGTAGCTGTTATGAGAGCACACAGCACTCATAACCTTTTTTATGCTTCTGTCAAATCAATGACATCCACATCTGAACATGTCTCAATGCATCTTTTCTTCTTCCCCAGGCCAAGGTCTTCTCCCTCTGCTTTCTTGCGGCATTTACAATTCCTTGATGGTATGATGAAGCAGTCTTGAATTTTCATCCTACCCATGGAAGAACGTCCTCCGCCTGTGGTGATTGTTAGAATCACTGACATCAAAGGTGAAATCTCCCTTCCCTGTTGATTCCTCCATCCTCTCTCCACCAGTTCTAATCCCTACTTTTGTGACACCTTGATGGCCATAGGAAAGACCCATTTTCTTCCCATAACTTTGCCCTACTGTGAAGTTAGGTTGTTTTCCATCCTAACCTTTACCCCTCACCTTCACACTTGTGGTTTGTGGGACCACATACCATTTCCCCCTGTTGGGCATGCTCCAAGATCATCACCATTCTCTCATATTCCACACTGATGTCAAGCCCACTTGATGTGCAAATGACACTCTGCCCCACTTGAAGCAGCAAAATTGACCCATCTGAGAAATTGAACACATCATTGGATGCCACATGCTGCCATGCCCAGGCATCTAACATTTGATGTTGTCTTCTTCCATGATCACCAGTTCCCGGCAGAGATCTGAATGCTCAAAGGGCCTGAAATCGCTGTTGGAAGGAACTCTCCACTCAATAGGGGGTAAGAACAGCTGTATGACAGTTAGTATAGCATTCATACTCCAGCTGAGACAAACTTCACCAAAGACCTGAAAAACACTTTAGCTCTGTCTGCCTCATCTGCAATATCAATCACAGTGCCTTCTTTCTCTCTCTTGAACACCCTCGAGTCCCCCTTTTTTCCAGGCACAGCATTCTGTTTTCTCACTCTTCTGTGCCCTCAACAGCAATGACCAGGGCAGTGATGAAGGAGGCAGTGGCAAGGAATACTCATAGCTGTCTGAAGACATTGGATGGGGAGAGGATGAGACCATACCACAAAGTTTATTGTGTCCCAGATGACTGCAGCCAGGGCAGCATTTAATGCAAGCTAAGAAAGGACATTGATGATTGCCCATCTTGCAACAAGCTGGATTTGAACAATGGATTTCAAAGCCATTCACTGGGAATAACACCATCATCGGGTCTATATTCGGTGCTGTCACAGTATAGATTGGGGGTGCGGACATTGCACAATGCCAAGGCACATCTGCCTGCCAATGGAACCAGTGGGAGATGCCACCCTGTTCCCCATTACACTAATAAACAATGTATTAGTCTTCCCTGCCCCAGTCCTGTTAGGTGTCATAGACTCACTGCCTGGAATGAACATCCCTTATTGTGTGCCATAGACAATCTCATGATCCTTGGGTGTACACCACTCCCACAGACTCTGCACACCTCGTCCGATCAAGGACTTCTGAACAGGATGGGTGCAACTGGTGTCATTTGAGGCATGGGGCACTGTGCATACTTGAGATGAGGGGATTTCAGTTCCAGAGGATAGTTGTGCTCTGGGTTAACAATGCTGCCCTCCTTATGTATGTTCCAAATCTGGACCTGCATGCATCCCTTCATCCCCAGTTACTGCACTTATTGTCAGATCAGCTGCACTTTCCTTCAGCTGGGCCTAGTTACCCACTCACCAACACAGGCAGGGACTAGTAAGTCTCCTTTCCCAGGTAGATTCCTTGCTCCAAATTCCTCTCATGCTCCATGGGAGTGTTTCGGCACCTCGTCGAGTCAATCACAGCTAAGCCAATGTTGCCAACATGGCAATATGTGCAGCTCTTCTTTGTTGTACTTGTTTCCTTGTAGAGCTAATGACACCAGAACATTAATCAATAAATCTTTTCACTTCCATGTCAAAGATGGCAATTGCTGTGATAACTCACATCATCTGATTTCAGGGGCCATGTCTGGTACATGGAGAGTGGGTGCAAAGAATCACTTTGACACTTGGCTGTGCATAATGATCAGTATGGGCATAACAAGGAAAAGTTTAGATGGAGCAGACAACAGCAAAAACCCTGACAACCTGTTCCCCTCCAATTGGATGACAGTCCCTGGTTGGCAGCTAGGTCCATTCCCTGGTAAGTAAGCTGGCCACAACAGGATCAAAAATGCTCCCCATGCAATCAAGCTGCCTTGACAACTGGAATAGCCTGTATATGTAAGAATCATGCCCTCTTGTAGACACTTGAGGGCAATATTGTGCTTCAGTCTGAGATTAATCGAGTGTTTAGATACAGGGAGAAATTCTTCCAACCATACTTCCTCAGTTTGGAAAAGATATGTGCCTGCTTTGTGGCATAAGCAGCCCAACCTGGGTTAGCCAATTGGGAGGACCAGGCAATCACAGATGCACCCCAGGCCACACCATAGTATTTGAAGAACCATACCACCCATTTCATCTTGACTTCCAAAAGTTCCACTTCCTCTTGACCCCATTGTATGGCTGCATAAGAACACCACCATGTGACTGAATCCACTGGCAGAACGTCTCAGTGCAGCCACAGTGAATGTGGGCATGGACTGACCAGCATCACTCCATTTATCCTCTGTGTGGGCCAAAACAGGCCCCTGACCCAAACATAACCAATGGATCCAATGTCTGTTGGGTGACATCTGCTTAGAACCTGTCTTGGCATCGAAACAATATTCCAGTTCAATGTCTTCCAGCAGGCAGTATCTCAAATCATTGGCTGACAGCCCTAGGGTCACCATGGCATTTCTTGCATGTCAATACATATTTGCATGATGTTTCACCAAGCGATGCTGAATGTCCATTGTATGGTGTGTTCTCATCTTCATCCCTGGCACAGATGCATTTGTATGCATCTTTTCCCATAAAAAATGTTGCAGCTTCATCACTTTGATCATCTGGCTAATTGCTTGTTCTGCTTGTGCCTTCCTTAATGTCATCTCGATGTAAGAAAGTCTTTCCAAGTTCATTGCAGCTCTTACTTGTGAATTGAAGTTCAACAGCAATCCAATTACCTCATGCTCAGGTAGGCTGTCCACAGAAGTGGTCGGGATGTTGCCTGATATCATCAGCATTTCACATTGTTGTTGAATGTGCCACATGTGAAGTATGGGCAGTAGACTGGCCCAGAGTTGATCAGCTTCTGTATTGTCTCTGTCCACCCCATTCATACACTTCAGTTCATCCAGTGCCTGTTGAACTGCCTGCCTAAGATGAATTCAGTCCTCCACCGAATTCCAAAAAAGGTTTCACTTACAGGCACTCCTCCAATGCAATGCCAGGCTGGATGAAGGAGACAGAGTCTCCCCTCTCTGCCCTTCCTATTGTAGTGGCAATAGACTCCAATGCAGTCTCTTCTTCACACACAACTGGTCAGCTGTGTGTCTTTGGGAGGGTACTGACATTTTCTCAGCATGTGATATGAACATAGGTGGGTTGAACACACCTGCTTCATCTGGAAATTGGTAAACACTGCAGAATGACCCATCTGTTCTCTCCAAGTATTCTGGTTGTGCCTTTCATCAATCAACCCAAGGACCAAACACAATGCTAAGATTGTTGAAGTACTCCTGGCAGTGTTGCAAATGTTTCCTCATGGAGATCATTCTTCAACATAGAAATGGTACTGTGTGCAATCATTAGACACTCATGAGACATGTGGGGTCCCAATAGCTCACTCATATCTTGTTGTTTCTTCCAATTCCAGTTGGTAAAGTGAGCTTCCAGGCAGTCCAGACAATGGCCCAGATTCATCTCCTTGGTACTGCCCCCAAGTTGGTTATGCTCCACCCAACTCCTCTCAACTCCCTCCCCATCCACCCCAGCAGCTCCCAGTTTCAACAAGAGAGAGAAGCAATAATGACATTGCTTGTGATGAGCATATTCATGCATTTTGGGTATGACAAACATAATGTGGTCCCAAAGTGGCACCAGATGAGGAAATTGCAATTTCATCCTTTCTTTCCACTTTGGCAACCACATACATGCCAAATCATATGACAGATATATGACTGGCAGGGTCTCAGCCCCTGCAATAGCTCCTGCAAAAGCGTAATCAATGTTCAAGAACCTTGCCAATGTCAGCATGGTATATTTGATGCTTGGCTTAAGGGACACACCTTTCCCTGACCTGCAAATCCACTGTTCCACCCAGTCTGTATAAGCTGTGGCATAGGCAACTCCAGGAATACATGCTGGACAAGCAGTATCCGACGTTGCCCTGGAATAACATTGATGTTTTAAACCCACTACAAGTTTGAGCCTGGCTACAGTCTCAGCAATGATTCCCACCTTTCCTACTAAGTGGATCTACATACCAATTTCATCTCTTCATGGGTTCAGATATAGTTGGTGAAATGGGTCTGGTCTGGGAAAAATCCTCAACTGCATAGCAGGCCCACATCATTTGCATCAACATTTTTCTTCTTCACTGAAAGGGTGAAGTTCCCATCTCCACCAAGATACAGAGTGATCAGATGGCTATTATTCAGTCAGATGCTCACATCCAAACAAAAATCAGATGGTATGCATGGTTTGGCTGGGTCAGCTTTTGCCAATTCTTCCTTGGTGATATTAATACTGAGCTGGGGGCATGCTGGACAAAGCGGACTGTGAACCTGGGTAGCTGCAAATGGAGGAAGATTGTTTGTGATGCCATGGGCCTCCCCACAGCACTGGGACACTTCCAGGTCCATCGAAATTTGGCTTGCATGGAGAAGCTCTTGATAGCAATCATTGGTGGAGGCCAGGATGATGTCGCTGGTTTGTCTTATGAGCTTTGCATAATAGTCATATGCTGACTTCTTTGAGCAAAGCATATGCATATGGAAATCTTTCATTACTGCAAAGCTGAAGGCCATCTTTGGGTTGTCAAACAATGCAGGGAATAGTTTGGTGCAAAGCAGCTGAACATAGTGATTGGGACATCTGTAGCATTGGCAGAAGGCCCACAAAACATTGTGAATGCCATTTGCATGGAGCACCACAAATGGTGTGAGGGCTGGGGGGGTTGATGCAGGACATGCTGCGCCGTTGTGTCCTAGACAAATGATGAGGCCCAAGTTGTGTAGTGACTTGTGCCTAGAAAACTTTCCTTCCCATACCTCTGTCCAATGAAATGGATTGTGCACATGGGCAGTAACTTGACATGTGCTGCATAGAGGGAGCACTTGAAAACAGTCCCTGCATCTCATCATCAGTTGCAAGGGACTGCCACACTGTGCACATGTCAAGGCTGTTGTTTCTGCATAGCACCAAACCACTTCTTCAATGATAATCAATCATTTGGCTTTGAACTTGGATATAAAATCTGAATATGCCTGGTTGCATTGTTAGTGCTGGATTTAAGTGCTAACATGTCAAACTTCCCATACCTCAGTTTCACCCACCTTTACTGGCTCCTTCTGGGTTTTGGCATCAATTAAGGGAGGGGCCAGACATTCTAGCTCCAGGTCCAGGAATGTGCCAATGGGGATGTTGGGGCACTGCCCAGATCATCTAACATTGCGCTTCTGAAGAGGAGAGGGACCATCAATGAAAAAAATATTGGGATTCTTGTGCCTCCTAGGACTCATGTTAGTAACTACGTTTGGTACAGCACACAAGGTAGATGAGAACCAATTTAGAGGTATCCTCACTCCAGAGTGTCATGCTGTGCCACTTAGGTTGCTGACTGACTGAGACTCTGACACCAACAAAGCTGTACAGGATGGCATGTGAGCTGTGGACTTCTTTGGCTCCTTGCACAGCATTGGACCCTTGGTTCTCGCCACATTGTCCCTTTATGACTGCCATAATTTGACTCATTATGTTAACACAAATGGGCCTTGACATGTTTGAATACCAATTCCTCCTCCAGATACTCTTTGCTATGTCACGTCCATATCTCCATGCTTCTTCTTTACCTTCTGCACACCCACAGCCCATATAAAGTCTTTGGAATGCATGTGTGGTTTTGCATGACAATCTCTGCCTTGGGTGGGTGAGATATGGTGAACTTCAAGGAAGAGCACAGGTGATGGCTTTTAGAGCATTTGCCTGCTTTCGGTGCTCATGCTGATAAATGTGGAGGCAAAAAATATGTGAGCAGTATTGCAACTGCATTTTGGGCCAACTTCCCCTATTATACCCCAAAGAGAGATGTCAATTCTGTTGACCAGTTATGAGAACATTTCTCTCTTGCTAACTGATATGTGCATGGATGTGATTGTTTGAAGCAAATCTACATTCTTTTGAAGAACAGTCAAGTGCACATGGCTGATCCCCTACAGAAGTTATCTGTTGCACATGAGAAACATGCACCACTGATCAACCAAGCATGTGAACTGATGGACATCAACATTCCCAACTTTGCGGATTGACTTGCTGAGCACACCATTAACACAAATAAACCCATATTCCAAGCGTGACCTGAGTTCTTGAAGTTGTATTGGGAGAACAAACTTTTGGAAAAGAGATGCAGAGAATATCAAGAATCTGCAGAGCACCAGAGAGAACAGGTCAAACAGTCAAACACCACTGTTCAGGGTACTCGAGGGTATGTTAGTCTTATCACTGCGTGGCATCAGTATAAATGATGAGCTCAGTGCACCAGATACAATATTCAATACTATTGCCACAGTGCAAAAGGCCCTGCATGCATGTTCTGGGTGGGTGTTCTTGACCTTGGCTGGAGGGCTTGACATGAGTGGGGCAATGTGAGGGCACTAGGTCTAGCAAGGTTGCCACACACTAATTCCAAATGATAGATGAAGTGCTGGGGGGTCTACTGTGGTTGAAAGCAGCTCTAACCAGCAGTACTAGTTGATATCCATGTCACCAGGGCCAGCTGGATTATTGGGGGGGTCCAAGGGGGTCACTGGGGGTCCCAGGGGGTGTTATAAGTTGGTTATAGATAGCTGAAAAGTGTAGTAAGAGTTGTGGAGTCAAGGCAGGTTTCTGAGAGCAGGGTGTTCAGGTGTGTGTAGAAGGGGGTTCAAGACAATGAGATGACTTAGAAACTGCTTGTAGACTAAGGAGTTTCCTTAGAGATCAAATCTGAGGGATACAGCGTCACTGTACTACTGTTTATGTACCTTGTAGGTGTTCACCAGAAGCCCAGGAGTCCAGGTAAATTCTGGGGACTCCTACAAGTGTCAGATAGACGCCCTAGCAACACCCCTAGGCCTCCCAAACCTTTCCAATAAATTGTGGAGACTCCTACAAGTGTCATCTTGTGTCCCACTACTCCCAGTAGGGGCCTTTAGCACCACTATGTCTCACCCCAAGTGTCTGGACACAGCAGTCTTGTGGTGTCCTCTGCACAATGTCTTGTATGGCCACTGCCATTGTCCTAAGGCAGTTACCAGCACAGGAAGTTCCAGGGGCTTGTTGTTTCATTGCTCCTAGGGCAAAATGGGTGGCCAGAGTGGTAACAGGCAGTGCCCTGACAGGCAAGAACCATGACACTGTGAGTGGCAATAGCATCCAGGCGTTCTATGGCTGAACACTCTGCAGAATTGATACAGACCAGATGCCTAATGGATTGTGCTTCTCCAAGTTCCATTTGCATTACAATACAGAGATTCATTGTACTTGGGTAGACTTTGTTAAAACTGCTGGTCCTCATTTTATGTCGAATACACTGTGGTTGTACTGAATCAATTTTCTAGTTCCAACCACTACCCATGACACCAGTGCCAGAGTCTTGTTGACTCTTCAGTGAAATGCAAACAACTGTCCCATCCTTCCAGCACTAGAACCTGCTTGGAATCATTTGGATATATCTGTGGTCTTAAAGACCTTTTTGTGACACCTGCATGGTATGTGTCTATGCTTGTGTTGGGTGGATTGTTACATGTTTTATCATTGTGTCTTAGAACATGAAATTGGCCAGATGGATATACAATGGGCAATGGTCAGAGTCAAGCCTGGACATCTCCCATCCACTGTTTCTCTCTTGGACCCTCAAAACATGTCATTCATTGATCTTCTCACCATGTATGAACATGTTCACAAGCAACAGACTTGGCACAGCAATGAGTGTAGCTTCTTCAAAAGCAGCAATCATTTACAGGTGACTCCTGAGACATTGGTAAACACTGCTCAGCCTGCACCAGCAACTGTTCCCCTTCCCTGCACCGCCCTCAATTCCCAGCCTGTAGAAGACTCAATTGCACTGAGAGACCTTCAACAGTCTTCAAATGATTGAGCATTCTTGCCTTTGGATGAGGATTTTGAACATCATCACTATTCATCCAGGCCTCCTGAACATCTAGCCCCCCCCCCTCCTAGTTTGGACAATGGATTGAATCCTCTTCAACATCATGAGGTGCCAGTGGGTGAGCACAAATCATCTCCCCATCCTCACTCAATCAACAATCCAGCAACACATATACTGCCTGTTGGGAAGAACATCAACATGCACCCTCTTCAGAAAGGCCACAAGAAGCCAAAGGCAACATGCAAGGGGGGCTCTCAACACATAGGAAAAGCAGCAAGAGGCCGAGGCAGGTACAGTGATCACAACATTCCCTGGTGCTCATGCTGATCAAACTGCAACACAGACCTCCCAAACAATCTATCCTGCAGTGCAGTGCATACAAACAGAAGTAAATTGCAGTCCCATAAACGATTGGAATGACATTAGCTGATATGAGCAGAGGTCCGTATTGAAGGCGGTTGCCAAATGCAATACCAGTGGGGCAGGTGCTTGAGTAGTGTACAGACAGAAGAGGATGTGGCTGGGTACTGCACAGAGGCTTCCAGACACCATGTAGTAAACAAAGAACCATATTTGGATTTCACATACACTAATCCTATAACATCTGTGTTTCAATATGCTTCACCTTTTTTTTGGAATGCCCTTCATAACTTTGTCTATAATGTGATTCCCTAAGTGCATGGCATGCATGGAGTTTGGCCCACACCACACCTCTGACACCCTTGAGGTTAGGTTTTGACATTTGAGGATGTCTGCATTGCACTCATGCCTGGTGCCTGGTACCCTCACTTACACCTTCATCAAATGTGTCATCCTGCAGTGAATTCCAGTTGTCATCCTGTGAGTTCTTGTCTTCAAAATATTGAATGCCATTATTGTAGGTAGCCAAGATTGGAACTTCATCCTCATCAGGTTCCTCAAAGCGTCCAATGATATCTTGCCACAGCTGCCACAATGGGGCGTCTGGAATGGCCAACTTGCAAGATATTGTGAAATCCACAGTATATAGTTTGGCAATGTCTGAGGCGAGAACATCACCCCATTTGTACACTGCACAATGGGCAGATTGCTCAGATCCACCTGATCTCAGCTGATCTTAGATGGTTACTATCCAGTGCCATGGAGATTTGTACCTGGAGATAAATCACTGAACCAAAGTGTCCCATCCCACATTCCAACATTGATGGCCCACTGTGACACTGTCGTACACAACCAGTGTACCCGAATCCAGATGTTTCAGGGGTGTTGGGGCGCATGGGTCTGCCTTGAAACAGAAACAAAGCCAAATCTTTACATTGAACATTTGGAGGTAATGTGCCTTGAACACATTGTGGTTCCACCAGTCTGTCAGCATGTGGTTGACTGGGGCTGAACTGAGAGCATTTGACACTGCCAGACCAATGCATTGGTGCCAGGGGAGGTTGATCCTGCAGATGACTTGCTTGCTGGGTATCTGGTATCAGCAGTGGATGAAGATGATAAGGGGTCACATTAGACACCATGGCAAAGGACATCATGCCCAAAGGACTGTTCAGGATAGATAATAAGGCAAACACTGATCAGGGTGCCATCGTCCAGGCACTGCCATCATGCACACTCTCCTAATGATGACTGTTCCCACAATACCTGTCTACATACAGTTACTATTTAGGTCCTCTGTCTGCATGATAGTGATAACATGGAGATTGTCGTGATTGTGAAATATGCAGTACATGAGGTAATGTGTAAGGAAATGCAAAGGAAGAAGTGCCTAGTTCCTCCATGTATGGCTCATCTCTGCCATGCTTGTGGCTTCAACATGCATGTCCTTGTCAGCCAGAACATTGATCTGGTCACCCACCCCATCTGTGGTCATGACGTCCAACTGAGCTAGGATAGTTCCATCCTCAGGGGTGAGAGCAGACAACTCTGTAGACACAAGTTCACTGGAGGTTTGTGAGGAACATTTGAGAGAAGGGGTGAGTGGACCGCCCATAGGCTCCTTTGGCTGGTGTCAGGGCACCAGCTCATTGCTTGGTCAAGAGACATGACTAAGCCTTTATGACATGGAAGTAGCTTGGCATGTGCTGG